GACCTACACTCGTCTCACTCAGCTGTGCTAGAACACACAATCAATCAACCCAGAGAGTGCCGTTTGGTTCAGGAGGCACACAGCCCAATCTGAGCTCACCACAGCTGCCAAGCGACACACTACTACACGTGCCATACCCACTACTGCGTACAACCATCACGTACCTTAGAGCCGTATCTCCCTCTCCTCATGCAAAAAGGTCCTTTCACCCCACCACCCTTCACCACCGATGCGGAGCTCTGCAGCAAACCCCCCACCACCGCCCAGCCCCTCTAACGAGACAAGGAAGGGCACCTTTGTGCGGGGACCCATTGATGCTCTCGGAGCTCGACTGCATGTCCACCGTGGCTCTCCGGAGGCTGCTGAAATAAGCCCTGGACCTGGAGAAGCTGCTGCGGGGGGACCGCCCGTGAGGGCCGCCGAAGAGGGCGGAGGTGCCGTCCTTTCGGGCGAAGATGCCGCTGAAGAACCGCAGAAGCCGGTGCTCGTGGGCGGCGGCGGCGGGGCCCTCCCGGCCCAGCCGCTCCGAGAGCCGCTGCAGGTCGCTGTTATCCAGGGTCCGGTTCTTGCTCTTGCTCCGCTCCCAGCGCTCCAGCTGGGAGAGCGGGTCCGCCTGGCTCAGCACCTCGCCTACATCCAGCGTGTTCCGCTTCTCGGGGGGTCCGGCGGCGGGCGGCGAGCCCCGAACCGCGGCACCCCCGCCCTGGCCCGGCGGCGGCGCGGGGAGGCAGCCGGAGCTACTGTGCCGACGCACCCGGGCCGGCGCCCGCGGCAGCTCCCCGCCGCCGCTCCAGTGCCTGAAGCTGAAGCTCCGCCGCAGCAGGCCCGGCTGCCGCCAGGGGCTCTGCCCCCGCTCCGCCGCCGGGGCCTCGCCCGAGCGGCCTGACGGCGGGCCGCTACCCGCCGGCCCCACATCCTCGTCCGTCGGGGAGGCTGCGGGCCCGGCCCCGCCGCCACAGGTGTCCGCCGGCTCCCCGCCGCGCTCCGGGGCAGGGCTGCCCCGCGGCCCGCCGAGGGCCAGCTCGGCGGGGAAGGTCGGCCCCGCTCGCCGCGGCACCTTGAGGCGACCCAGCTCCAGCTGCCCCGTGCTGAGGGTCCTGAAGGTGCGGAAGCCGCAGGGGCTGGGGACGCGGTCCCGCTCCTCGCCTTCCTCCTCGCCCTCCTCCTCCTCCACCAGCAGCAGCCCGGCCCTGGTGAGGCTGGAGGAGCCCGGCGCACGGCTCCCCCCGCGCCGCCCGCGGCGGGGCAGCTCCGGGCCGGCATGGCCGCTCTCGGGCGCCAACAGCTCCTTCTTCACCATGGTCACGGAGATGCGGTACACGGTCTTCCGCTGCGGGGTGCCCCGCTGCATCCTCTCCGGGGAGGAGGCGGCGGCCGGCGGCTCGCTGCTGCTGTCCAGAAGATACATGTCTGTCCCCGCTGCCCTCCTCCCTTCAGGCGGCAGCATCCAGCGCGGGCATCGCAACGAGAGGGAGGTGTCGGAGAGACGTGGGTTCCCTGGAACCGCGAATGGAAACGCAGAACCGCAACCCGATTAAAATGATATTAATAATAGAAATGGGTTCTAAAGCCACGCTGAGGTGTCGGAGCCGGCGGCGGGGTCACCCCCGCTCCCGCTCCCCGCCGGCGACCGCCGTCATCCAGCCCCTTCCGAGACACATCCAGAGAGCAGCTACGTCCGTGCCGCGGCCGCATGCATCGTCCTGCGGATCCCGAAATGCATTGCCGGGGAGCAGCACTGTCCGGTGTTCAAGGGATTAGAGCAGCAGCAGCAACCCTCGATTTCATTGTTTACCGCACGTTTGCGGATCCTGCCTCCTTTCCCCCCCTCCGCCGGGTAAATCCGATTAGTTCCGTCCGCAGGCTGGGGGGGGGGGGGAGCGGGCAGCGCCGGCCCCGCTGCCCCGGCGGGGCTGCAAGGGGGCCCGCTTGGGAACGCAAACGCCGCCGTTCGCCCGCCGCGGGTGCCGGAGCGCCCGGCCCAAGCGCACGCCCCTGGGCGGGCAGGCGGCGGCGAGCGCCGGGCGGGCGGGCAGCGGCAGTCGCGGCTCGACCAAGGCCCGGACTGGAGTCCCGCCCGCACAGGAGCAGGAGGGAAGCGGCGAGACGCAAGGCAAGGAGGGACGGCGTTAGGGAACACCGGGCGCAGCCGGGAGGAAGGGCAGCGCCAATGCACCGCTTGTTTTCCCTCTTCCAAACCCACCACTCTCACTGCCCAGCCAACAGCACCATGCAGGCCCATGCGAGGGCAACGCAAGTCTTAAACCAAGATTTAAACTGCATCTGAGCCGACCGTGCTGTACATCCCAAGATCCTGGATGCAGGATGACTGGAGAGCAACACAGCCTTTTTCACAGAATCCCAGCCGGGTTTAGGCTGGAAGGGACCTTAAAGCTCATGAGGCCCCAGTTCCCTGTCACGAGCGGGAACACCTTCCACTAGAGCAGGTTGCTCCAAGCCACATCCAACCTGGCCTTGAACACGGCCTTCACTGAATATTTGAACTGGATGCACTCCTTTCACACCCATCCAGCAGTCCAGAGCAGGGTTGCTGAAGTAATTAACAACCAATAGACACCAACACTGAAAAAAAGTCCTAAGAAAGCCCTGATGGCAGACACAGGAGTTTAATAAATATAAGGAATAAGGTTTGTGGGTTCCATGATTAATAAAGCTCCAAAACCCACCCTCGACTGCCTTGTACAGCCCTTCCAAGCCTACAATCAAACACCTTTTACCAATGCCAATAAGGTTCAAAACCAATAAGTACATAAAAATGAATTGAAGATATAAAGGAGATCCCTGAGCAGCTCACGGGGCCAACAAGAAACCTGGGAAGGGGCTTTGGCCAAGGGCCTGTAGCTTTAAGATCCCTTCCAACCCAAGCCAGGCTGGGATTCTGTGTATCTTCAGCAGACCCCTGATCAAAACCCACCTTACAGAAAAAGCCTTAAGACCAGCCAAACCTAAGCTCTCCCTTGACCAGCCTGAGCACAGTTCGCAGCTCCTTGTAAATGTGGTTCACTACCATATGACAACAGGAGATGTTCCCATTTCTCAGCCACCCCAAAGGCCATTTCCCATAGGTATTTCTAAGGTAGGTGCCAGAACCTGTTAAGGAACACGAGTCTAATAAGAAATCCAGAATAATCATCACAAACTACACACTAACTGAATGCAAATCCCGAGAACCACCGCACTGGGCGCCGACATTGTGGCTCCAGCGGGATCCGGGCCGCAGTTTCCAGCGCGCCACTCCAGCAAAGCGAGCCGCTTTCAGGAGTGGAATGGACCATTTCTCATCCTCCGGGATGACGGACCCCTTCCCAGGAACCACTTCCAGCGGCAGGCAAACAGCCCGCACATTCCTGCCAGCCTCTCCGGGGCATCCCCCGGCCTCTGCCTCCGTCCCGGCGCTGCAGGCTGGGAATACCCCATCCATCATCCAGCTCGAGGTGCTGCAACAGCTCCTCCACGGGGAGGAGCAGATCATAAGCTCTGGTGAGCTGCATACTCATTACAACTTGCTACCCTGCGACTTCTTCAAAGGCTTCTTGTAAATAAGACTTCTTGTAACACAACTGCCTTTGCTGACAGTCCATACCCCATCATCTACAGGTCCTGTCTTGCTTCACCAATGGAGAGAGAAAGGACAACAGCTTTAAGAAATCTGTCGTGAGTTTGCCCCAGAGCAGGGGCATAATTCACAGAATAGAACCACAGACTGGTTTCCTGTAGCCCCTTTAGGCACTGGAGCTGCTCTAAGGTCTCCCCTTAAGGAGCCTTCTCTTCTCCAGGCTGAACCAGCCCATGGGCTTCATGTTGAATATTCTGTCCAAAACTACTATGGAGGCCTATGCAGTACCTTCACTGAAGGGATTCTGCCTGGAGTCCGTGCACAGCATCGCTTCACTGTGCCCACATCAGCCAAGACCTGAGCAGTCTGAGCAGCAACAGCACATCCTCCCTGTCCGACTCCTCCCATTGTGCAATTAGCACGGATCCGGTCCCAGAACAGAAGTCTCTCAGGCCCTGGGACAAGAACAGCCAGAGGCCACAGCAGCCAACCCAAACAAGTCATTTGGCTCACAGCCCACACTGTGTGTCCTGAAGGGCCCTCGACAGCAGATCCCAGTTACCTCTCTTTCTGCAGGCGGCTGGAAGCACCGACTATGACACACACACACAACAAGGATGAGGCTTCTGGAAGGCGCCAGGTCCACTGCTCTGATGACACGAGTATGCACCCTTCATTTATCACACCTAACCAAACACCTGCAAATCATATGCTACCTTCTGCCAAGGACATGGAATACCTCCAAAGGATTTTGCTTGACAAAGTCTTACTGACCCTCAAAGATATTGACATTCAAAAGCAATGTCATGCAAATCCTCCATTCAATGTAGCCATTAAGGGTCAGAATTGCCACTTGTCATTCTACTGCTGAGGTCAAGCCTACCTACATTGCTTTGCAGACCAACATCAGCAACAGAACCAGCCCCCAGTGTGTTTCCACAAGAAACATAAAGCCTTTCGACTATGCGGAATATAACAATTTGACTTACCACTCTACAACTGCCTGACAGGAGGATGGAGCCAGGAGGGGCTGGGCTCTGATCCAAAGGAACAAGGGATGGGACAAGAGGAAACGGCTTTAGCCTGCACCAGGGGAGGTTTAGATGGAGCTGAGGAACAATTCCTTCCCCACAGGGTGCTCAGGCATTGGAACAGGCTGCCCAGGGCAGGGCTGGAGTCACCGTCCCTGCAAGTGTTCACACACTGTGGAGACGAGGCCTCAGTGCCATGGGTTAGTGGTGGCCTTGGCCTTGGCAGTGCTGGGGAGTGGTTGGACTGGGTGAGCTTAAAGGTCTTTTCCAACCTGATTGAGTCTGTGACTTTTTCACATGGGCTCATCCACAACACTGCCACCCAAGCAGCAAAACCCAGCCTGATGCTAAAGCTGTTCCCCACCAGAGGAGCAGTCCACTGCAACTCAGTATCACCATCTTCAGGAACAAACCCCAATCCTCTGTTTTAATCACTGCAGTGAAATACAGGTAACGTGGGTATCTCTGATACATCTTAAAATGCTTCAACAATCTTACATGGACTGTGCCATCACTGTCTGCTTTGCTTTACAACCCCAGCGCTGTGATAGTACGAGCTGCATCAGTAGCAAGACACTGCACTGCTAAAATGAGGCCATGAATTAAAATACACCAGATTAAAACAAAAACAGGGATGAAAACTAGGATCAGGAGAAATGCAGAGGGAGCACAGCACTTGTGAATGCAGCATTCGTTGATTCCCATCCCAAATCATGTTCTGGAGTTTCCCAGCATCACTTTGCATTTTCTCTGTTCCCAAGAACTCTTTGCTAAAAGACACCTGGATTTCACATTCTTGCACACTCCATCACTCCAGGCAGACAGCATCATTCCAAGCAGCTGTTCCTGGATAAAAAACTATGATGGAAGACTAAATTAGGTCACCTGAACAGTTCTTAGAGTAATTCAGATGCGATTTCACTTTTCTGTTGTAGAGATACTGTGCTCCATCCGCTGTTTGTCATTACAGATCAGTTCAATGAGGAAACAAGAGGAGGCATCTGGACCAAAACAACATTGTGCTGGAGGGTACCAGCAATACAGAGACCAAATTCATGGTCTCTCTCAAGCCACAGGGTTTGCATTAAGCCACTGATGTGTGTTCTTCTGTCACTGTGCACTTGTCCATTTAAACAAGCCTGAATTCACTGTAGGCAATTCTTTACTAAGATGACGAACAGAGATCTCACAACAATAGAGAGAATAGAAGCTACCAGCAAGAAGTCAGCATTTGTTATCAATAATGATCTTACTGTCAGCACAATGAAACCACATTCCTGCCCTAAAAACACTGGATGCTGAGCAGGAAAGAAAATAAGGGTGATGGGATGTGTAGTAAAAAATGTAACTCGGTAATTTGTCTCTCACCAGCAGGGAAACAGAATGTTTGCTTGCCTCCAGTTGAGGGTAAACAAGGTTGCAGCAAGCTCATTCAAAGCGCATAACACTTCAATGGGCCTCCCATCCTTTGCAGAGATCTCGCAAGGGGGTCACAACAGAAGCTATCCCATACACAGAAGCAGCACATGTCCTAGGAACAGAAAACTGACTCCAATAGCAGTTCCTCACACTGTGTGCTTTCAAGCTCCAGGAAGGTGATATGCTTCAATGCCAGGGCTGTTCTGCCATATGGGATAACACAGTGTACAGTACTTGTCCTGTTAATTCCTAAGTGTGGATTATACTACTTCCTTTCACTCAGATTATACCTATTATGTACTACACAGATTGTACCTCTTATGCATACTTATTATGTACTTTATGTAGCCTAAAAGGCTCATGCTTCACGAGAATATATTCTTTTATACTAGAAATACAATAATGAAACACCTTTGACTCGTAGCTGTTCAGTAAAGATGAACGAAGGGGAAATGGGAAAAAGCAAGAGTTAAATCAATCATCTTTTTGGGTTTTTAGCATGATCCATGCTGAAGATACTGTTTTGAAAGAATTCTCTTATTGGACAGCTTCAAGCAAGCCCTGAATTGCACGATTTCTGATGTCCAAGTGTGGCAGATTTCATCACTGCAATTTACTTAAAAGAACAGAACAAATCTCATCTTTTAAAGGGGAAAAGCATGAAAAGTCTTCATTTTCTTCCTGCATGACTAAGATTATCCTTCCCCTTTCTGCCTTGAGCTGCTGGAGCCATTACAATAAATACATTTCACTTATCCATCTGCTGCTCTTTGGCTTAAAAGCAAAACACCTTACTGCAGCTGGATTTCTACTGAATAAAACAGGATAGTCCCAAGTTATCATCTCACCAAACAAACAGGCATCCAGAGAATTAAGTACACAGGATTCATCGTCCCACTTTAAGTATAGATCTTTGTAGGTCACATCATCTGACGCAGGACTCACAGGCTTCTGCTGCTCCAGAACGTAACTGAAGCAGCACAGCAGGCAGAAGTAAACCACAGAAACCACGTTTTCCCTTCATTCATCCTTTAGGACACTGAAGCATGCAGCACCCTGCCCCGAGAGCTGTAGTGTGCACCTTCACAGTGCTCAATCTGCCCACTGAAGGTGGCACAACTAACAAAGTTTATAATCCTTGCATTCCCGCAGGGCTTTTGGTATGGAATGGCCAATATTAAAGCCACCCCCATTTTGTGCTCTGCTGTCTCCCAGCATTCTGGTGACTAAAAACTCACATACACTCGTCAAACTCCAGTCAAGAGCTGTAGATGAAGTAGACCACAGTATAAAACCAAACCACATCACTTCATAGGCAAACATTAACTGTTAAAACTGAGGCAGCAGGCACTAAAGCAGTACACCATCACCCTAAGGAACTCAGCAGAGATGCTACAAGTTCTCCCTGCCCCTGCAATGTTAGCACTGAGTTACCTGCAGTTTTACATGCTCCTATGGAGAAAGGAGAAGTGTTACCACTCTGCAGCCCCACAATCAACTTCCCAAATGATCCCAAAACTCAGCTTCCACTTTAATCCAAGCTGCTAACATAGAATCCCAGACTGGTTTGGGTTGGAAGGCACCTTAAAGGTCAAGGCCAGGTTGGACACAGGGGCTTGGAGCAACCTGCTCTAGTGGAAGGTGTCCCTGCCCATGGCAGAGGCTGGAGCTTGATGAGCTTTAAGGTCCCTTCATCCCAAGCCATTCTGGGATTCTATGATAACATGAAACCAACCTGAGTAGTGGTGTTTTCAAGCCATCCTGGAGCTAAGTAGCCACAAAGGTTTAGCAAATACAAAGATCATGGGTTTGGATAAATGCTTTTCTGAAAACTACATCTTGATCCAAAGGGGCACTAAAATACATAGCATAAGATGGTAAAACACACTATGCAAGTCAGCAGACCTAACCAGCTTCAATTCATATGTAGCTTGCTCAAGTCTTGATTTATACAGCAGCTACACCTGCACAACTACCTTCGGCTTTACAGCTCTGCCACTTCTGCAGCTCCAGCCTGGTTCCACCCTTCATAAATTCCACGGAACAAACCTTTCTCTTAGCCATCACAGCCCCTTTTCTTTGGCTTCGGGAAGTTACACAACACAGTATGAATGTGTGTGCCGAGTTCAGGTTTACTTACACTTCTGTCTGTAGCATGTGGATCTCTGTGAGCTCCACACACAGCCACCAAAGAGAATGGAACTACTACCATGCATTTGGAAGAAGGAAGGGAAGAGAAAACTAGAATTAGATCAGAAAATCAGTCTTGTGAAATGTACCCCGTGACAGATAATAGCTGCTTGTATGTACAAGCCAGTAATAACAGGCCTGGGAGTCTGTCAAGAGTTGACTTGTCAAAAATAACACAGGACACAGGAAGTTGGAAGCTGGAAGTGAGGGTGGAGAGTAAGAAAATAGAGCTAAAAAAAACCCAAATCAGCACAGAACCCCCTGTGGCTGGGTTAGGCTTGGCCAGGGCCATCCACCAGACATCCTAGGAGAGCACAGCCACACCAGGACCATGCTCTTGCAGGGCCTACTCTACCAAGATGCTGACCATGCTTACTGCTACACAGACAGCACCAGCTGGTAGCAGCGAGCTTTTCGGCACCCCTCAGCGTCGACAGCACTCAAGCCCCAGTGTGCATCAGGTGTGAGAACACAGTCAGCTGCTCTCCTGTATCAATCTTCTCCACAGAGCAGCAACGTTTGAACTGAGAAACAAGTTACAAGCACCTGCATGGGCTGCTCTGATCTCCTCTGACACAACGGACCACGTCTCACACGCCACCGAGACAGATTTGTTTCTGTAACTCTGCACAAGGCCATGGGATGGATCCTGCACACCCTTTTAGGTGTTTAAATATCACAAGACAGTGGAAAACCTTCAGGTCCTTGCTACAAAGAAGCTTCAACACCACGAGACAGCAGCCAAGGAAGCTGAAGGGGCTCAAGGGTTTCCTTCCAGATTTGCAGGAGTGTTAAGTAGGGGATGGTGGCAGGAGGCAGAGATCTGAAACAGAGGTTTACATCTGCTGGAAAATACTATGGAATACCAGCACTTCAGTACTTCCAACACTTTCTGTATGTTCAGTTTGCCCCTATGTAACGGACACAGATACTACTTGAATGCAAGATTAAAACCTGAGTATCTATTTTCCATTGATGAGATTTCTTACAGGAACTTCTAATACACATCTATTTGTCTTAATTCAGTAAGTTCACAAATCCCCCCTTACAGATACACCGTTTCACACCCTATTTCTTACATCATGTTGCTGGCAAGAAGCGTTATGATGGACAATATGGCTATTATCTGAAGTCCTACCAAGAAGTTTTAATGTAGAAGACTCATCTTTTACCACTTCAGAAGCTCTGCCTGAAAGAGAAGCACTGATTAACTCACAGACCATGAGGAAACACACTTTTATCTATGAATTTTGATTAGCCTAGCTCTGAAAGGAAAAGCCAGCTCCTGAAGCCAGGCCTTCTGTCACACGTGAGATTATAAATCATGATGTTTCCTCCCTGTCCTCCACTTCTGCTCTCGCCCTCTCCCATTCTTCAAATGGTTTCCATGCCATTTCATTAACAGGATAAGAAAATGAACATCATTTTCTAACACACACACACAAAAGGGGGATGGGGGCTGGAAAATTCCCTTCCTTGCTTTCACTGGTGCAGCTCCAAAGCTAAGCAAGCCCAGCTGCTCAGGAAATACCATTGTCATGAACACATTATTGAACATGGAAGGATCAATGGAGATCCCTGTCAGAAGTTTCCCATGCTGCAGACAGGCCAGCAATGATCTAGCTCTTAGGAAACACTTCTCAGCCATGTTCAGCAACTTCATTCTTCAAAATCCAGGCACGTGATCAAAATTCCTTAAGAAGAAATCAAATCACATGTAAATGAAGTGAATTTGAGTCATTTCAATGGGAAGCAGGAGCTGCTCTTCATTACTAGCACCTGACCTAACACTACTTTCACTACACATTGCATTTACTCCAGCCCAAGTGAGGAAAAAAACAGTTGTAGCTGAACATGAGTTTCTCTCAAACAGCAAAACCTACTCAGTTTGTGACTGGCTGCTTCTTGGATTCTGTGTTAACAACACGGAAAACACATTAAAGGGCAACTTCAGCCTATTTTGTTGTAAATACCTTAATACTACTGAGGTTTCTCTTAGCTGGTAGTGAGGGGCAGTTTTATGAAGCCGAAGCTCCTAGAAGTGCTAGGGGCTCTCCATGACAGCTGTGATGAAGATTTCCCACACCACCTATGCTATTTATCTCAAAATCATGTAATTTCATGTGCCAAACACTGTCCTCAGTCTTAACAAGAAAAAGCTAAGGGTGGAGAGAGCACCTAGAGCTATCTAGCCCTGCTCCAGGTTTCCTGTAGCCCCATTAGGCACTGAAGCTGCTCTAAGGTCTCCCCTTAAGGGGCCTTCTCCAGGTTGAAGCAGCCCAGCTCTCTCAGCTTGGCTCCAGAACACAGGTAAACATCTAAAGTACTTCAAGAACAGCTTATAAAAGGATGACTTATACATGTATCCTAAGGTTTCTGAACACCTTACATCACAATAAAAGCAAAGTTTCTACATGGGCCATCGAAAACACTCATGAGAAGCACAGTATTCAGCACACCTGGGTAAGGAAGTCAAATAACCCTGTCAGCACTGGCATTGCTTCACTATTCCATAGCTTGAGAAGTTGAGAAAACATCCTTTTTCTTGTTGTTATTAAAGCTTTTATATTTAGGAATCAAAGGTGAATTTCAAGAGATCCAGAACACTGCAATAGTGGGAGAAACACTATTGGCAAATGCATTCATCTATGGAAAAATCTTACATACTGAATTGCCGTCACATCAGAAAGCCACCCTGGGCTACTATAAGCACATGTGCCACTAAGAGATGACAAATGCCTATTAAGCAAAAGAATCCTAATTGTTGTTAGGACCAGGTAGGGATGACAGCTTAGAGGGTTTTTCATTTAAAGGCCTTCAGTTCTTCAAGGAAGGGTAACAGAAGCATTATTCAAAGAAATTCTCTTTACAGCTTTCTCTCAGAGGCTGTGTCTAACACGGTGCGATGAAGAGCATCTTCACCTTCCCTCAAGTGCTTGTTTCATCAGTGGTACCACAAGGAAAGCCTAAATAGATGCACAGACAGCTCTGAGTTATCAACCTTGGGTATTCCAGCACTAACTTCAAGCATGCTTTTCAGACTCTTATGCAGAACAACACATCCCAGGTTTTTTTTGTTGCCAACTAATGTATGTAAATACACTTGACTACATTGAGAAGAGCTCAGGCTATACTTTAGCTACATTCTGCTCCACACCAGCTTTGCTACGATAAGCGCATCATTCCATCACATAACTCTCTAGATGCAAAGAGGAGTTGTCAAACTCATCCAGCAAGGTCAAGCATTTAGAAAAGGTCAAGTTGTGCAGTGCATTCCTCACCAGGTCAGGGAGAACACACCCCAGCTCCTGGCTTTCCATTTCTGCACAAACACATGCTTGAAAGTCAATTGCTCACCTTCAGTTACACCTCCAGTCCCACACCACGCACCCCAGCTTACTCCAGTGTTGCATTATGTATTGGTAATGAAACTGCTAACTTCGGCTGCTTTGGTGGTTCTAAACTGAATTCTCTGCAGAAGAATTACTTTGAAGACCACTTTTCAAGTTATAAATACTTAACTCATCACTATTGCTCTGAAAAGTAAAGTTGATTTCTAGCATTCCTCAATTCTGCCACATCAACTGAAATGTACCTGGAATGGTGCTCACACTGCTCCCTGTAACTCCTGACCCAGACCACAGAAGGGTAAAGGTGACAACACAATCTCCACACTCTGTCCTGCAAACAATGCAAAGAAACCACGCTGGATACTACAGCATCTACACATCGAGGAATCTAACAGCGCCCATTCTCAATACCTCATATTCAGAGCTCTAACAGACAGCTTAACTGAAAAGACATCCCAGGACTGAAAAGCAAAGCTCCTTAAACAAATACAGGTTCACATGCAGCTGATGAAGAACCGTAAGAACTAGCATGCTGGACAGCCAGTCAATGGAGAACCCTTCAGATACCACTAGCATTAAACCACTGAAGTTTACTGCATATGCATGAGCCAAACTTCCACAGTTGGTTTTGCATTGTTTTTTTTTTAGTGCATCTTTCTTCTGATTCCAAAACACAGGTTTCATCCCACATCAGCCTAAGCTAACAGTTACACTAGTGATGCTAGCAAGCATTCTGACCTCAGTAAAAGGTATCCCTCTAGCCAGCAATTATTCAGTAGCACTTCAAAACACTGTTCCCAATATGCACCTGAAGGCTGGCTCATCTAGATCGTTGCATGAGGATGACGCTGCATCTCCCCATTAACTTGCCTTTATACCCCAGGCAGGGGCTGGGGTAAATGCTTTGAGTAAAAAGCATTCTGCAGAAATTCAGTGCTCTGCTGCTCCTATTGTGAGCTATTCCATTAACCTGAAGTCACAGCATTTGTTAATGCTCCAGATTACTTTGCAGAAATTACCTTCATAGTCTCTCAAGTTATGATCTGAAACAAGCTTTGTGAACCAGAGTCCTGAAGGGCCTGGCAAGTAAGAGGAAAACCCACATCTTGAAGCTGAAGATTAAAAGGCTGCTTTTAAGTAAAGATTAGTCCTACCAGATGAAAGACCGTAAAGGTGATGTATTTGCCTTCCTGCATACAGAGAATGTGATATGTCAAAAATTCATTCAACAATTCAAGTCTTGTCCACCTTGAAAAAACAATGAATGGCTCCCTTCTTATCGGGAAAGGATTTTCAAGTATGCTCCTTAAGCTTCTACTATGGCTTTTAGGTCCAAGTTGAATAGTTTGCTTTTGGCATCTGAACCCAAATACCAACAGATACTGACCAGAAGGAAATTCTTATTGGGAATGATTTACACCTTCTTGATTCTAACAACGATTTTGTAGGCATATTACATCATACACACTTGCACTATGATTCCCACTTGTTATTACACAGCATAAGTCCCCAGTGTTATACCTTATAACAATATAACTACATAGTCCAAAGTTCAGCATATACACGTTAAATGTTATTTCAGCAGGCAATGCCACAAGACAAAGCCCCAGTAAACACTTGGTATCTATTTCTGAACCAAATACGCAGTATGCTACTCTTATACAATCACTCACATGCTAATCTCTAACTGCACAGCCCATCTCCATTAATACTTAATAGGTTATGCTGGTTTATTAATATCCTTACTACATCAAGCAGTTTGAACAGCGGATACTGTAAAACGTGTTAGAAGTAATTCCATTTACAACTTGAGATACAACTCCGCCAAGGCTCCCTGTGCACTTCTTACCCCATGCATGTAACCAAGAGTCACATAAATCACCATGGGAGGTGAATAAAGAAAAATGGCACTGCTTTGCAGTGGCGTCCACTGCGTGCATGCAAACAGTCACTTCATGTAATCGAGTTATGAGCAGCAAGTTCTTTTAACCATTAT